AATATTATTATCATTGTTATTATTATTTTTCCGTCCTCCGGTCCTTTTTTTTTTTTTCTATACACATGCACGTCGATTTTTTTTTTACACCCCCTCGAACGAAAACCAGTAGCAACCGCATTAAGGCAAATGATACGGTCCCGCGGTCGTCCCTCCGCGTCGTTGCGGCACACGGTAGCCACTGCGGTGCACGGTGTGTTACACGCAGCGGCGGCGACAATGATTCACATTTCACGTTGCGCGCGATGAATACCTAATGCACGCGGGAGTTGGCCTGCGCGTTTAGGAGACCCAGGGGTTTATTGGTACGTATACGCGGGTATACCCTTCAGCAGATTTTCGATATTCCACGTATACCTAATGTAAAATATTATTTTACGGGTATACGCTTCAAAAATAACTCGAAAACCAAAACTGAATACCAGTTCACTGGAAAAATTGTTTTAAACCGTGAAGTCTAAATGAAATATTTATCTGTTAAGGATTACAGTGAGGATTGGTAAGTTTAAAGTATTTTAAGTTCAAAATAACATTTTGAATAATAGATATTATTAAATATTATATGGAGTATGGAAATTCAGTCCGGGGTTCTTAAATCATTCAATTTATAACGCGTGGCAAACGTATATCTTGCGGTGTTGTATTTTATTGTATTATTAGAAGTTACAAACATATTAGGGATTGATTTAATTTATTCGAAGGTAATGAGAACATTTTTTGAGGTTAATATCTATATATATATATATATTTATTTTTTTAATGCGTATACCCTTAAATATATTTACCGGTACACCACTGCCCGAGAGAAAATTAATTTGTACCACTCGGACAGGAAGTGTATAATGTTTGTATATTTATACCGACGACATCGAAACAAACGGACGGACGGACGGAATTTACCTGTTGACTTTGCACTAGGAAATAAGCATAATGTTCGGCCGATCGAAACGTTGTGAAACTATATAATAATTTTGGGCCGTGTCGATACATCGTATTGTTGTTATTATACGTGTACGTACACGGTTTTGTTTAATTGTCGCCACAGGTGTATAATTTCGTCTGGTCCTCGCGTACGGAAGTGCGAACGATGACACGGCGAAACGATTTACCGTACAGAAAGGTTTAATATCGATTCGACAACGTGTTCGTATTTGATTACAGTAATAGTCATTTTCGCGGCCCGCAAAAGTTTAACAAATTGGTTTGGAAATACGTACGACACGTCCGTTTTCGACGCGGGAATGAATATATAATAGCACTTTATTATTATTATTATTATTTTATCCGAACAACGAGTTTAACGGCATTAATTTTATACAATATTGATTTGGTCGACGGCCCACGCTCTGCCACCGCGACACGTAGTATAGGTATCTTTAGGTATTTATAAACATTTTTGTTTCATTCTAGAGAAATGACACGCTAATGCCTTTTTAAAAGTATATTTATACATATATAATCCGTCCAAGTGCCTACGGTGTAATATGTAAATGTGAAAGTTTATAAATGTTCCGATTGCGATTCTACTAGAAATTTACAACCGATGATGTGTATATTTATAACATATTCCGAACCATTCGTGCATACGTGAAACTGGTATCGCTTTGGTACAATTGTACAGTTTACAATTCGTTAAAAATTATTCGTACTCATTATCGGAACTGCTAATCATTCGAAACGAAAGCCTAAGAGTGTTGGTCGTGATTGGTTTAAAATCTATTTTCATTAGTAATGAGTACATCATAGGTATCAATTACCTATGAAACACTATTCGAAAAGTGACCAATGATTTCAAATTTATATAGCTTTGTTCGAGGATTATTGCACAAACTCGTCAAATTTCAAATAACAGCTGTCTAAAAAAATAAAATGTCATTAACGTGGCATCAGTAACTTGACTACATTTCGGAACTATCGACGAGAAAACATCGAATGGAATTTCAGATAATGTAACAAATCGCATCAATTTTTTCACGTTCGTAAAAACGTTACGTGCGTTTATTAGAATAGTGTTTTAATTACGCGCGTGGTTTCCGTGTGTTATTGTCATTTACGTCGAGATGGACGTTGAAAAAAAAAAAATTCGGTTCGTTTAAAATAAATTACATCATCGGAGACGTCATTCGTGCGGACGGACCATCGCGTTCGCGTTAAATTCCGTTCGTTAAAACACGTCCCGTAGTAAAAAAAAAAAAATAATTCACAAAATGTTTATGCGCTTATTATCGTTTGAAACGAGGAATTAAAAATCCGTAAACGACTTTGGCCGAACAAGAACAGTGCCTACGAAGTCGCCTAGGCGTTTTATTGTTGTCGTTTTACTATCATAGAGAGGTAACTGCTGCACGGACGCGCAGACTCCGAATAATCCGACGTAAACGTCACGACGAATCGAGCGAATGCCGTCGTCGGATAATAATTTGCGCGGTGCATTATCGCGTGCCGGACGACGGCGGAGCGCGTTGGAAAAAAATAAAAACGTCCGTAAAAGGTGTACGAAAATTTCACGGGCGATAAAAACGAAATTAAATCGTCGTCCTGCATCCTCCGATCGGATTTAACGACATTCGTTAACGGACCAAGGTCGGGTTCGGGACAAGAACTGTTACGCAGTTCACCGTACGACGGCGGATTACGGGCGCGGAATCGCGAACGAGCATTCTCCTGTTGCTGCGGTCGCCCGGCGCCTAAAACGACGAATACAATTCAATCGCGCTGGCAAATTGGAAGGGGGAAAAAAACGGGAAAATAATTCAAAATAAAAAAACACCATTCACCATTGATTAACGACGATTACAAAACAATGTCTACCGCGGCGATGCGCATACGTGTAAACACATATTATTGTACACATTTCACAGCGTAGTACAGCCGAACTCGTGTGAGTACGTACATATGTACGCGTAATCGTTTCGAACCGTTTCTCATTTGATTCGGTAATGACATGTTATCTCATGTACAGGAATACGTGTCGAAAGTTTCGTTTAAAAAAACGAAAACATTGTATGCTTATCCGAATTGTTGACCGAAAACGCACGAAAAATCGACTACCCGACTTGAAAGTGCGGCTGCTACACAGCAAATTATTAATGCGACATATTTTATGTTACGAACAATATTTGTTTGAAGTTTGAAAACGTCGGCGACGGTGAAGAGAATAAAAATGGAAAATGAATTGCACAGTTCATGACGTGTCGAATTTAAAATCAATTTCCCAATTATTATTGTTATAACTGAAAATAAAAACAATGCACGCTGCATCGACATTTATGGTTTAGCTTTCTGGGTCCAACGAACTTGAACATCGACTCTATGTCATTCGGGTGTTGGGTGTTAAAGAACATAATTACGTTCGCAATTCAAGTAAAACGTAGCACTCCCGTAGTCCTATGCTATAAGGGATTTTCAAGTGTTCCGATGGTTTTATAATATATACACTTTTATCTCGTGTTCTCGAGTACGTAATTGAATTCCCAAAATAGAATCTACATATCATGATCGTATATTTCGGTGTTTATAAACTAAGTTTTACCTCGACGGTGTTCTCATTGCGGACCGGTCGATCGGAGAAAAGTCTGGAATGAATGCGTTCAAGGTTTAACGAAAATATCCTACATTCATGTTTTTGTTCTTCGACCGGGATCCCTAGGCCCAAAACCAGTTTCGGCCGAGCTCGAATACAATATTATTATAATTGTACGTGGTATTATATTATATATCAGTCGTTACAAAGCACCTACACGTGTGATTCCGTGGAGGCTCCGCCGTGCACATAGGTACCTACTATCCCGAGGCCAATACTCCGTTCGTCGTTCTCGCAGTCGGATTTGACGGGGGCCGGAGCCGGGGGAACGATAATATTATTGTGTAATATACATGTACACGTATATACAACTATAGGCCAACGGCCGCTTAATTCGTCGGTAAACTCATACATCGTGCTACACACATATGTGTACGATATATAGATATTGTGTACGTCTCGCGTACCACTCGTACAATGTACAATATTAAGATTGTATTGTGTACCGACGGACGAACGACGTATTGAAGGGCGCGAAAAAATGGTGGGCAATATTATAAGTACGGTAAAAATGTGAGAAACATGCAATAAATGTGTTTTCAAATATGCTCAATATTTTAACCGTTAAAATGGCTCTCCGAGAAGGCGAAATCATAACTTCGCATTATGCTACTCCAAACCGTGCGCGAGCGTACAGACAGATTATTATTTTCTCTGGCGCGCATCTCAAGTCGTTCGTTATCGTTTAAATGTCATTTAATATTTTTCCACTAATCTGCTCGGGTTGACGATTCGTTTTATTTGTTCAATGCGTTCTATTATCGGCCGCTGTCGCGTTGAATACGTGTTTTAAGTCGTATAAACATTACGCGCCACAAAGAGGAATTCATTATGTTCGGGTTGTTTTACCGCGGAAACACAAAACATGAAGAAAGAAAATAACCGTTTATCCCCGTATCTAACCTGTTGTCGCTTTCGAAATTCGACATCCCTACGGACCTCGTGCTCCCCTTCCACCATTTCTAATAGGATACACGTCGCCGGAAAATACGTGCATCTACGCGCGTAACGATCCGACAAAGCTTTGCGTTCGTCGGGAAAGAGATTTCGGGGGAACACGCGATCCGATCGTACCAGCTTCGTGTTCGAACCACCGCCGACCGATCTAGTTTATAATATAAATACAAACAGTGTTCACGCCACTCGCGATAGTAAGAACGAAGGACGGAAAAAACTCCGCGCGCGCGAGAAAGTGTATCGTCCGTACGATCTCCCGGGCGGTCCGTGTACAACACGGTGGCGCCAGTGCGCGACAAAGCTGTGCGGCCAAATCTTGTTCCGCGCGACAGGACTAGCGGAACGGCGACCTTCGGGCCACGTGACGAAGGATACGTGCCGCAGGGCCGGGACAATGTCCAACCCTCCGCGTGCCGTCCCGTCAACGGGTAGACGCTACGGTTAGAAAAAACGTACTCACCCCGGTCTGATAAAGCACCCTGACCGCGGACGCCTCATGCCTGAACCTCCTGGGTTGTTGCTGCGACTCGACGACGATCAGCTGCTTCGCAGCCACGGGCCGCCGGTCGTCTCGCATGTCGTTGTCGTCAACGCCGACGAAGCCGACGTTGGTCACCAGTTCCATGGTCATTTTCGCGGTGATCGACTCCTCCACCGCCGGTGCTGATGCTGCTGCAACCGCCGCGGCCGCCGAAGCCGATGATACCGCGGCCACCCACACCAACGCGGCCGCCATGTAGAACGCTAGTGTTTCAGCGCGCGGTCCGACCATCGCGCATCACCAGCCCCCCTGCACGTTCTACGAGAAACCAGCTGGAGATAACCGCGCGCGCGTTCCTCTTCTGCTTCTTCTGTTCGTCTTCCGCGACGGCGCGTGTGCAACGTGTTCGCGCACTCGAACTCGGCTCGGCTGAACTGAACGGTGTTTTCTTTCGGATCGCGTGCGATCCGAAGCGAGATGTCTCGTTGACGCGATGAAAAAAAAAAAAAAAAAATGAATAAATAAAAAATTATAGAAGCGCACGAAAACGCGAAAAAAAAAATGTTTCAATCGAACATCAGACGGAACAGATGTAATTAAACCGGTAAAACGTGTAAAACCGTGTACTGTACGGAAATATCGCACGCGTCGTAATATATCAATAGAACAACAACAAAATAATAATTATTATTTCACCGCGTTGTAAATCGACGCTAAGGTGGCGAACGTGACCCGTGACACCAAAGTGTGTGTGACCGTTGACGATCGCGGACGGTGTGTGAGCCGTCGTCGTCGTCGTCGTTGCCGTCGTCGTTGCCGCTGCCGCCGCCGCCGCCGCCGCCGCCGCCGCCGC